ATCGCTCACATTCTAAAGACTCCGGCTATTTCTTTTTCCTGAGAATTCTATCATGGATTTTATATGAATAATTTTGCATTCTTAAAAGGATTTCCAGAATAATACTGTATTCATAATCGGATTTTTTCCTCTGAGGTAAATCGGCCGCTCATCCAGAAACCTCAAACACACACACACACACACACACACACACACACACACACACACACACACACACCGACAGGGATTACAGTGTCTTATGGAGATGGGATAAATAACAACACGAGACTGGGAGTCGAGCGCCCAGAAACTGAAACATTTCAGATGAACCTCTACTAATTCTCAGCTGTTTTCAGGCACATTAGGTGTTAATTATTGTCTAAAACTTTGAAATAAAGCTACGAACTAAATAAGTACCCTTAGCTTTTACCTTTATACCTGGGAAACAATAATTATTTACCGTTACAATATTCCAGTTACATTTTAGCACAAGCCTCGACTATATAAGTACACGTTTCTGTTATGGCTTAACGAGTTTCACTGTATTCACTTTATAATATTAACATTCTCTCAGCTGTCAACACATTCAAGGAGCCTAAACTTGAGGACGAGCAAAAGTTTACATTTCAATATCACGATGACACATTCCTTGATATACATTTGGTAGTTCATAATCTAAACAAAATGAACTTTCTCAATTTTTATATACAACTCGAAAAACTTCTTATAGTGAGTTCTAACATGCATTTGTACTGTATTTTACTATATAGAATAAATTACATGTACAGTATATAAATATAATAAAATGGATGTATCTCAGAAGTAAAAAATAGTACTTATGATTTTCTTCAATTAAAAAAACGAATCAATGTTTATCTGACTGTTTTCTTCTCCATAAGAATATAACATCAATGCCTAATGTTAGACAACACTTAACGAATGCACCAAGGGCAAAACTGTATTTTTTAAAGAACAGGGAAAAAATAGTTTACCCTCCATAAAAAAAAAAAAAAACGTTCTCTAAAATAAATACCATTTGTACAGACACTGGAAAGGTGAGACTCTTGGTAACTCCAGTTTCATGCTGGTAAAGTTTTAGGTCATGACTACAGGCTGGAGAGAAGGACAACACGGAACATATCACAATAGGATAAAAATAAACAATTTGAATTAAAAGAGACATAAGAAGGACGTATGACTGGTAAGCGAGATGAAATTGACGTTTGAAGACAACATAAACGATACAATTCCCAAAGCGAGCACAGTGATGGGTTTGGCCCGACGATTATTGACCATCTTCATATAGATATCTTAAGACGGTTTGGAGAAAGCAGAGGAGGAGGGAGTAACTGAGACCTTAATAACATGATACAAAGGGGTGTTGAAGAGGGTAACGTGACCACCACTGATACCACCATTACCACTGACACCACCAGCACCACTAACACCACTATCACCACCATCACCACTGACATCACTATCACCACCAGAGATCACTGTTTTAAGTTGTTCCAGGCACCAAGGCCCCAAGCTCAGAGGAAAAATTACTCCCTGTGTATTGTGGACCTGAGGTGGTCACGTCTCGAGATGAGTTAAACTGAGGAGAGAGACAAGACAAGAACTCACCAAGGACTAGACAGGTTTAAGAATGGATTGATTACAGATATCTTACTCTGTCTAAAGCCGCTATAGTCAACCCCACTATAACGTCAAGTACCATAGAAAACAGATGAAGAGCTCAATGCACAGGTGTAGAGGATTTGTCCAGAAAACGATATTTATACCTTTACATCCAAGCTCTCTGCCTAACCTACACTGTTAAGCACCATACGAAGGCCTTGGGAATTAGCTAAGACACGGATACAGTTAAGTTTAGTGTCTTGGAAGCTCATCTTAAATCTTACAATGTTGAGGTCATGATCTTCTAATCTCTTGACCCCCACTTACGTCATCTACGAGGATATTCAATGGTCCTAAAACTGTCCAGGTAAAGGAGTAATTTTAGCATCGTTAATGAGTCTCGGCCCACCTGTTGACTCACCGTATGTGTCCCAGGTTATATCGGGATTATTATAATCTAACCTAAAATATTTCCTGAACTTTACTACTAAATGAAGGCGTGTATAATAATTTCCTATTTTCCCAAGATTAGTTTTTTAAGGGTAAGAGGTTAATTTGGTCATTTTCTTCACCTGTTATAATGATTTTAATATTTAACAATGTACATTATATCCCACCAGTCTTTAAGATAATGGTAGCTATGAATATTAGTCTCCTCTAGTGTATTCCTTGGGGAACCAACACCCAAACGCGAACCAAAACAAAACCTAACCTAACCTAACAACCTTAATCCTTAACCTAACCTAACCTAACTTAACCCATCTCTCCTCCTTCCTATTTTATACTCTCCTCCCACCTCCATCCCTCATTTACTCACTAGCATATCATTGATGAAGGGAGATATGGAACCTATCCTGCCGACCATTGAGGACACCCCTAAGCCCTGGGTCCTTAGACAGGTCGGGTAGAGTTGCCTGTAGAGGTAGACGACCTGATAAGCGGAGGTGATAGAATTGCCCACCATCACTATCGTCATAAACCACCATCTCTCGCGGTCTGGAAAATGACAAACAGAGATAAAGGTTCGATTAGGTTAGGTTAGGTTGGGTTGGGTTGGGGTGGTTGGGTGTTGGGTTGGAGTTGGGTTAGGTTGGTTGGGTTGGGTTGGGTTGGGTTGGGTGTTGGTAGTTGGGTTGGGTTGGGTTGGGTTTGGGTTGGTTGGGTTGGGTACTTTACTGTATGTAAACAAAAATATAAGTCGAGGTTCTAGAATGATAACAAACAAGGGGTCGGTCTGCAACGTTCTTAAGTAAACACTAGAATGCAAACAAAACATAAACATCTATTAAGAGTATTCCTGTGTACTAAGCATAAGCCTCACACTGTTCTTTCTCTCGTGTACAGAATAAGAACAACATGATCAAAAGAGAATTGCTGTAAAACGAAGACAAAAAATCTCTCCAACTTCTGTGCTTTTAGAATAGGAACAAAAGCCATCACCAGAAAAGTGAAAAAAAGACGAAAAAAGAAAAAAGTTGACTACAAGGGTCTAGAGTTTCCCGTCGTCATGGAGACACAACTGACCATAAAATACAAAGGGAAAATACTGATCTATCGAGTTTTACCACACACACACACACACACACACACACACACACACACACACAAGGACGGACGTAGTACTATATCCATACTTTCTACTGTGAAGGCAATGAGAGGACAGATTCGAAAACAGAACTAAATACAAAAAGAAATAAAAAATAGCTAAGAAAACAGAGAAGTCGAGGCCGTAGATAATTCCAGAACACAAAGAGGAAGAAAAAGTGAAGTAATTGGGTAATTAATCTGATAGCCGACAAAGACAGCGAAGAAAATTCTATTTGTGAAAGTTAAATGTTAATGAGGGAAAAATTGTCATTTGAGAGAGAGTCGAGTTAGAGCTAATGAGAGCCAACTTGGGAGAGTTAATATTACTGGTGGTAGTATGTCATTAAGGTACACAGAAGGAGGCTTAATGACTTCAAGGAAACTCTCAGTGATAGCGGATGTAAACTAATTAGGACGAGTTACCCGCCAGTAGACATTTGCATTAGTTTCCTATACACGGCTTAACTTGTTCTTGTAAACATTTTGTAACCAACTAATTGTAGCAATGAGTGTGTTTACCATAAACTAAATTAAACCCTTCGAGTCTGCTAATATATACAAACATAAGAACATAAGAACATAAACATTTAAAATATAATATCTTTTACTGAAGAAACTCTCAATATATTAGCAAGAATAAAGTAGGTTATAGGTTTAAGAGTAACTGCCATGAGGAGGCCTGACTTGGGGTTATAAAGCTCCTGAGAGATAAACTCAGTGGAATAGGCTCCAAACATTACTTTCGCATCTTATTTCTTTAACAATAACTCAGTAAATGTTGCAGTTATTAAATGGTAAACCGACTGAACCCCGTGAGTATGCCTTAACCCCTTGGAGGACTTAACCCTATGAATATAATGACTTAACCCTTAGAGAATGATGCTTAACCCCATGAGTATGATGAAAAATAAAAATGTTTCGCTTTAATTAAAATAAACCATTTAACTGTATTCTCACACTCTCACTTAAGGAATATCATGAGAATCTTTTAAGACTCTGGAGCGACACCATCCACGCATCAGACACTCGCTTAAACTTTACTCGTATTCTTACTTTCTCCAACAACAACAAACGTACTGTATTTACAAAGTCTTATATTTATGAGTTACAAACACCTACTTACATCAAAAGCTTTCTTCGCCTCCATGCCCAAGAATTAAAATATGTGCTTATAAATATTAAATGATGTTGTTTTGTCATTTAATTTTTTCCAGTCTCAGAAGGTGAACAACTTATATATGAGGTGTGTTGTCTTTGATGGCGGCAACATGAAGCTTCACTAGTAAACATAAGTGACAATGAGTGTAAGAGCGACCTGCATCCACCTCACGGTGATAAAAATAATTATAGCCAATGACTGGTGTGTATATAGACAGGGAAGACACATACGGAATGGCATGATGACACGTATGGTAGAGGGGACACATATGGTAGGGGATGACAGGATACATAAAGAACTTTACACACCACGAATCCTGATAGTGTGAAGAACTCCATCGACTCACCGGCAGGCAGCAGCAGAAGCACGAGGATGGCCACCCAGAGGACGAAGGTGACGAGAGGGATCTTCCTGCCGTACCTAGCCACGAGGGATGATGAGGGTGTAAGGGGGCAGCTCCATGAGGCCCCAGGAACATGTACAGGAAGGATCCATGCTGCAGGAAAGGAGGTAAGTAAATGACCATCAGATGTTAGTATATGACACTGAAGACCCTCTGATCTCGGTACCTACTTGAAGTTGGCTGAGTTGAGGGAGATGCCGTAGTAGACTAAGGTGCAGGTAAGCCAGTTGAAATACATAATGAGATCCTCCTCAACATTGGGGTCCTCACGAATACCAGCAGCTGCCTAAACACTCTCCTGAGGGAGGCCAGACAGGAAGAGGACCTACTGCCCCTGTTTCTTGTTGCTCCTGAACGTCCTGGCCACTGCTGTCTTTGTTCTCTGCCTGAAGGAGAAGATTCAAGATTAAACAGTAATAAGATCTATTTAGCTGTGTTAATTCAGCTCAATTCCCTCTTCTTTTAACCTGACTAAGAATGTTTTTCCGCGTGAGGGAGTTTTAAATTTCAAGTGTGGCATAACGCAGATGATGACATATTCTCTGCTACTTTCCCTTTTTTTTTGTGTAAATACTTGTAGGATAAACTTCATTCTCTCAGTTCTCACTCCACCACTCTCCCTTTCACTTCATCCTCATTTTCTCTCCTTTTCCTTCATTTCTCTCACCTCTCCTTTCATTTTTCTTTCATCTCTATTCATACCATTCTTTCCTGCAGATGTCACACCTATCCGTCCTAAACCTTCAACCTCATTTCTTCTTCCCAGTTCCTCTCCCATTATCTCTCTTTTCTGCACCACGTCTATCTTTCTTTCCTATATCTGCACACCTCTTTCTTCTTCCCCCTGCACCTTTCTGCATTGACTCTCTTCCCCTGCACCTTTCCCTTCAACTTTCCCTGCACCTCTCACTTCTCTCCGTCCCATCTCTCACAAGACTACTTCCTGGGGGACAGGGAAGGAGGCAGGTACAAGGACCTCGTCCCCTGCGTATCGACTTCTGTTATAGATAACTTCGTGGTGCAAAATATGAATTCTCAAAAACTCCTTCGTTAAATTTCTCCTACGATTAGATTCTTAACACATTTTGGACACCATTCTATTTCGATATTTTTTTTTTGTCGTATCCTAAAGTGAGCCAACTAGATGGGTTCTCATTTCATCCATTTTGAGAGAAATTTATACTTCAAGACTGGCAATATGATAAAGGGGAAAACCCAACTGTGGCAGGATTTTAATGTACATAATTTATCTTCATCCAAACACACACACGCTTATGATTACTCTTATTACTAACACTTTGAGTACAATAAAATACACCCAATGAGTACAGTTTAAAAGACAGAGAACTAATTTGACAGGGAGATGTGTGGGTGGACTGGGGTTAGTGGTGGTGAACATCTTCTGTCACTTTAAGCGGGGCGGGTCGGTTGCATTTTCAGTCTCTATGGAAGCTGGGTATACATGTTTCATAATTAATCTAATTATATCTTACGTTGATGTAATATAATCTAAAGATATAAGCACCAGATGCCTCCAGCCTTCATTGTATTATTCTTAAATTAAACTTACTTTGCATAACAGGATATTTAAATTAAACATGAAAGTTCTCGCAGAGGTTTCTTACCCGCCAGACAACAGGAGGCGAGAGGATGTGGGAAGACGCTCATTAGTCTTATGTGTGTGTGTGTGTGTGTGTGTGCGTGTGTTGCTGTTCATAGATGGTGTCGTAGTAACTCGTTCATTGCATGGCGTCGAGCATCACTGTATCTCTCTCCTGTCATGTTGTGTTATGGAAGGTCAACATTTGCCCAATCCTGGACCGTTCCCAGCGTGGACGGATTAGCATTTTGTCGCCTGGTCAGCAGTTGGTGGTTCACACGGGCGCTATTCTCTGGGTTCCTAGAACCTACTGGTCGATGTGAAGGTCAATCCTACTACCAGCAGATGTTACGGTTTACCATTGATTTCGCAGGTGTTAAGCACTGTTTATCACTGTTTATAACTGTTCATCACTGTTCAACGCTGTTTCAACTCTTAAGTGGTGAAATTGTCACTTTGGCGGAAATTTAATGGATGGGAGAAGCAAAATGAATACACTTTGTTTGTAAAGAGTAAAGAATACCATTAATTGATGTAATTTGTCATATAAAAGCAATAAAAGCGAATTAATTGCTATATTAATGCCAACAATAATGTTAATAACCAATTAATAAGCGAGTGAAGTCTTCTAGTACTGATAGGAAGCCAGCAACACTTTCCATTGCCCTACTAATTAATCACAGCAAAAGCCCTACAACATGTACCTGGTGTTACTCAGTGGCTCCAGCTCTCGGTAGTGACGGGATTATTTTGAATTTATCACAAACATATAAACTGGAACACGACTTTGACGTTTGAAGTGTAACGTTATTTAATCCCAATATAGAGCTTCACAGAGAAACGTTGTGTTGTAGAGTAATGTTTGAGGGAGAAGGACTCGTGTGTTTGATCAGTAACTGGGGAAAATAAAAGTTGGCAAGTTTGATAAAGATCGTCCTGACAGTCCAATAACATACACGGTTACCTTCTGGGAAGTCGACACATGACACTTAATACAAAATAACAACTATTGATTTAAGGTCAAACGATGTGAGAAGATTAATTAATATAGGAAAATGAATTAGTAATTTTTTGAGGGTTTCGTGGTATGATGAAGGAATAGAAAACGACAGACACATGAAACCCGAGACTTAATTTGACAGAATAAAGTGAATCTCGAGGCTGTGTTACGAGACAGGGAATTAAAGGTGATGCCTCAGGTGGGTGTCAAGGTATAGTGGTCATTACCTCTACTATACTATATACTGTACTCCATTACCGCATTAAGGCAAGAATGTCTATGTTTAAGAGTAGGAATAGGTGAGATATAAATAACTCTCCTTTTATCCATCTTTCAAAAAAAAAAGAATCATCGAAAATGTCCGAATTTCAAATGGATTGTTACATTGTCTACACTGTGTTACCGAGTAGTGAAGATATGTGAGTACATCTTCCATCCATTGTCCAGTACATGTAATCTGAGTGTTAGTACTCAAAAGGAAAATGTACAGTACTGTTTATAGACTGTAATTGTACAATAAAATGCTGTACACCATCCTACACCCTCCATACTCCTTAGCTGTACAAAGAAATACTAATATAACGTAAGACTTTAGTTTAATAATATGTTTCACCATTAGACATACTGTATAACTTGACCTCACTTCAAGTTTGTTTTAAGAAACTCTCAGAGCTCGTCTACAGATTTAACTTATAAGAGACTTTAGTAAATATATACATCTGTTATACATCACTTGAATCTTCCTCTTTGTTCTCCTGCATCTGTTAACATGCATGATATATCTCTGAGATGGAAGTTTACCAGTGCAGCTGTGACAGAAAATAAGCCTTGTGTCGTAAGAAATCACATCCTCACAGTAAAATAAACTCGTCGACTCTTCTACATACAACATCACATAACCTAATACCAGAGACACGAACCCTGGCTCTTCAGGAATAGTGGAAGCCAAGGAACCATAAGCAATTATTTCCATGACATAAAACCTCCAGTACACATTATCACGATAAGGATACGAACCCATGTACCTCAGGACTGTTAGAAACCACAGCACTTCAGTAATTAAATTCTAACGTAATATAGCTTTTTGTGTATCTAGCAGCCACTACATAATGTAAGGAGACGTGTTTGACTGTTGAGGTGGGGTGACAGAGGCAGCAGGTGTCCCACAGATGTGAGAATAATACAGGGGTGGTAGGAGCAGAGCCTTATATAGCACCAGGTCACGAGAAAGTGTAGGAGACAGGTGGTGTGAGACAGGTGGTGTGGACAGGTGGTGGGAGACAGGTGGTGTGAGACAGGTGGTGGGAGACAGGTGGTGGGAGACAGGTGGTAGGAGACAGGTGGTGGGAAACAGGTCACAGGTCACAGGTCACAGATTTTGGTAATATTCCTAAAGTTACACCAAAATCGGGCCAGGTGTCCGGGGTAAACATGCACACTATACTCAAAATTTTATCTGAATATTACTCTACTAATTAGATTTCAGGGCACGTCAACCTTAATATGTAATCAACCCGTCATCCTATGTTGCAGGAGAGAGAGAGAGAGAGAGAGAGAGAGAGAGAGAGAGAGAGAGAGAGAGAGAGAGAGAGAGAGAGACACACACACACACACACACACGGTGGTCATTGATTTGATAATACGACTCACAAACAGAACAGAGATAAGCATGTGTCTTAGAGAAAAGTAGACAACGCCACTCACAAGCGGAGAACAGAGAAAGAACTTGATTTATAAAGGCATACCATGAAGAACATAACTCGCAAAGAGAAGGCAGTGTAGATCACGTCTCATAAAGGGAAGAACACAACTCAAAAGCTAGAATATTGGAGAACACGACTCACAAAACCTAGAACACTGGGTAACACGACTCACAGAATCTATAACACTGGAGAACACGACTCACAAAATCTACAAAACTGGGGAACACGACTCACAAAACCTAGAACACTGGCGAACACAACTCACAAAACCTAGAACACTGGAGAACACAACTCACAAATCTTAGATCCTAGAAATGATGGAAAAGTCAGAAGCTTAGTGGTTAACTCAGCGGGGTCCGGCTTATAAGCTGGAGTGACAATAAGGAAAAGTATTAAAAACGACTTAACGTAAATATCACACATCTGTTTACACTTTATGTCTGTGAACTTATAAGGATATGTATCGTATATGTATTATTACTATTGTACATATTAATGAAATCTTAATATGTTAAATACAAGAGCTAAGAAATGTATCAAGGCTAATACCAACTCTGTAATCTTTAATATTAACGAGAAGCCCCCAGATCGAAATACAGCGAAACCTCGATTTAACGGACTATATATATGAGAGGAAAATCCGTTATATCGAGGGTCCGTTAGATATGAAATGCTCCATCTATCGGATTATATGGAGAGATAAGTTCGTTATACAGAGGTTTCACTATTGAATAATCTTAAGACATTGAGGTAATAAAGCCCCAATCAGCCTCGTTAATGAAGAAATGTTTAGTTCTAGAGACAAGTACAGGTGATAAAGCTCTCCTAATTGTCTTACATGTACAGTCAATTAGTAAAATCCGTTCACCTGTCTCCTTGAGCCACGAACACCGAGATTCAACGCTGTATGTGTGTGTGTGTGTGTGTGTGTGTGTGTGTCTTCATAAACACTAATAACTCTCCTTTACGCTTCACAAACAATAACTCCAACACGTCTTTGATAGCGACCTACCTGGTAATTGGGCTAATTAGTGTTCCAGGTGATGTATGTTGATTATCACCTGACATGGCCTCGTATTCTCA